ATGAGTCTTCTGACCACTGGTACATTTAATTGAATCTGTCAAACCATAAAACACATAAATCCTGTATTATACAGGGAAGCAAAAGAACAAATATATTTAAAAAATGTATTTAAACCAAATGTAGTGAATCTGCTTCATGGTAGAGGCCGTGATCGCAAAACCTCCAAACCCCATGAGCTCCAGCCTGGTTCTTGAGGCGATGAACATGTGCTGATGTTCAGTCGTTGGAGACCACGGTGGGCTAAAGAGCTGAAGCAGCTCAGAGACGTTCAAATGTCCTCGGGAGAATTTTAAATCCATTCTCTTCCTCACATGGACACACTGGGAAAAAATAATCTGTACCATCGTAGCTCAGTTCAACCAGTGACAGTCGCTGGTGTGAACACAGGACCAGGCAGTGTTTTATTTTTATCCCAGGGTCAAAGATTCTGTTGAACAGATTCTGCCTCAAACACAATTTATTTTTCCATTCTTTACTGGTGTAAAATGAATGCATCACCCAAAAATGTCCATCAATCGTCGCTCTCGACCAATCAGGATGTTTTATTTGGTAAACAAACCGTAACCACGTGTGGCTCAGACACTCAACCTACTATAAAGTCATGGCCTTTTCCCACTGGCTGCGAATACAAAAGACGAAACTGTCGAGCACACATCTGAACTGTGTGCTAAGCCACACCGCCCTCTGCTGGTGCAAATAAAATCTTACAATATGAGCTCCTCTATGAGTGACTCAGTTAAAGATTTGATCACAGAACAACAGCCACACGAAAATGACACCATAATGAAAAATGATCTCATACCAGTGAGTGTGTGTGTGTGTGTGTGTGTATCAGCAGATCCATGTCAACACACTCTGGTAAATACGGGAACAACAGTGAAAACCCTGAGGCAGCAGGAAAAGACTTCCACATGAACCAAAAAAATAAAAAAATCAGATTTTTGTCCTGCTGTTAATACACATTGATTTACATTAAAAACACGACTGTCTGAGTCTGAGTATTTTCTGAGTGCAAAACTGAGGCTACAGTGCTGCAGTGGAAGGATTCCAGATCCCTGACTGCCATACAAAACATCTTGATTTGCTTCCAGTGCCAGCCGTGGGTGGCATCAGGAAGGGCAGCCAGGGGCAAAACTGTGAAAAAGTCCCATAATCCCTTTGTGGTCTGTCACTAGGATAAAGGGAAAATTAGTTAAAGATAAACAGCATACAGAGTAGGCAGTTCCTTCTTTGTCACTTCATTAGTTTGAGGCTCCTTGGCCAATGGTAACCAGTTCAAATATAATCAACCGGTTAATCTGCAAAAACGCCGCCATAGTCCATGTGAGGACGTCCAAAATTCAAAACCAGTCACCTCAGAGTGTGAATAATCTGAGGACGTTGGAGCTTCGAACCTGAGCAAAGAGAGACTCCACCAATTATGTAATGTTCTAATCTGTCTTCATTCACCGCTGCAGGGGAAGTACGCCGTAAATCTCCGCTCTGGAATCCACCAGACACACTCTTAACTCATTTCCTCACACGAGCACAAAGGCAGAATGAGAAAACTGCTTTCCTCGATCATAAATTTTAGTACCGTTTTCATGAATCGTGGCGTAGAAACACTTCAAGCGAGTCCAGAAATGTTAGATTAGCTCTGAGCTGCTGCACTATCTGCCTGTTCACACACAGCCTGCACAGTCTGGCTCGTAGATCATGCCCCGGGTGACTCCTGGCACCGGGGTGGTGAATTTAGAGAGAGTCTTCGAAGGTTAAAGGTAAGGAGGCCAGGCAGACATGAAAACACGTCTGTGCTTCCATCCGTGATGTAACTAATCGTTTAATGATTAAAGGTTAGAAAAGTCATTCTGTCTCCTTACACAAACCGAGTATGACGTGGAAAAAAAACTGCATTGTCCTTGAACAGGCCTGAGTCTGCAACTCTGACAGTTTTCAGCGTATCGGTTTGCAAAAGTGAGGGATAATCATCTCTCTAACTTTAGACTATTGATCAGATGTGGATCTGAGCAGGAAATGTGGACGACTTTACTGGACATTTCTGTACATTCAACCCTCACAGAAGAAGAAGAAGAAGAAATGAAACAAAATAACGTGGAGCAGAGTGAAGTCTGGCTGATTTAGTTTTCATCAAACATGAGAACATTAATCAGTAGGATTAATTACAGTGGTTCATTACAACGTGTAATTAAGTGTCTGTTGTACATATGAAACCGATGCTGTTAAACAAACTCTTGTTTCTGTGTTTGGGAATCTCTAAAGACAAATCATTACTTTGAAAAGAATCTGTTCCATCAGTTACAAATGTTTTTTCTTCTTTCTTTGTGTTAATGTCTGTAGAAATGATATTTATTTATTAGAGTTTACAGTTTATTTCTAAACTGCCCCACATGTCTTATCCTGTTATTTTTAGCTAAGAATTCAAGAATTCATTTTTCTTCATCTCATCACTGAACTCATTTTTAATCATGGTTGGACCAACTTGTTTTCAGATCTTTAGTTGTGGCCACTGTGCTGTTCAGCTTCATGTTGATCAGCTAATGCGCACAAAACTGGGGAGACCAAAGAGAAGACACGGTTGTGTGGACACAGGTGGGTGTGTCTGTCCTGTAAACCCCGGCTTGTCTCACAGATGGAGAATGTCGATGTTGACTGTCACACTCTCGCACTCAGCTGACGATTTGACACCAGCACCACAGGGCGGAGGGTCATTCTCTCCAAACACAGCTAACTCACACGTCTGCTGTAGAACCGCCTCCTGTTCATACATGTTTGAAAAAAAAAAAAAAAAAAAAAAACCCTCACTAACCTGAGTCTTTTAGTCAGACTTAATATTCCTGCGGGTCGGTGGGCTGATAAATCAGAGGATCAACTAATGTCAACTATTTCTGGACTCTGCATGCACGCAGTCAAACATACATGTACTCAAAAAAATGTGCTTGTGAAATCAGGGAGTGCCGGCAGCGGAGGACAGGTGGAGCTGTCAGGACAGTTGTCAGCTCCGTGATCACACGTGCTGTACATGTTCCAGCTAGAATTAGTCTGCTCGACCAGAGAGAGTTTAAAAAAGAGTTCAAATAAGACTGGGAACACGGTCACGTTAACTCAACATCCCAGACCAAAACATTTGTTGTACAGTGTGTCCTTGTCTGTACTGGGACACCTCTGTACCACAGTACAGACAGTACTGTAGTACTGTAGTACTGTCTGTCCCTCAATACGGTACAGCAGTAAACAATATAAACACAGAGTGTTTATGAAAATGTTTCATTTCTTACCTGAGCTCCACATCTGATCCACTTGATTTCCTTCCGTCTCTGCAGACTGGGACCAATCTCCAAACATACACAAAAAGTTTTTTTCCCTCAAAACCTAAAAGCAACCTTTATTCCTTAAGTGAAAATAAAAGAGACGACAAAGGAAAAGAAAGAAAAAAAACGGTCTTAGAAATCCCAGGTTTATGTCATTAATTTAAAGAGATTCCATCTACTCTGAACAACGGAGCCACAAATGCATCGTGAAGGACATGACGGACCATGAACACACCACCTCTGTTGCCTCCCCTCTACTTTTCTACATCCTATCTCCTTCCTAGCATCCCCCCTCACCCCCTCCCTCTCTCTCACCCCCTCTCTCCCTCTCTTATTCTCAGCCATGTGTGAAAACAAAGTCAGAGCAGGAGATTCCAGCAGCTAATCGTGGCAGAACTTAATAAGAGAAGGCACTTGTGTCAGAGGAAGAAAAGAGTGGAAGGAAGGAAGGCAGGGAGGCTACGGGGCAGAAGGGGAGAGGAGTCAAATGTCAATAAAGTGCACAGAGAGGAGACACCTTGGAGAAGATGATTGGTGCTACAGCAGAGTTCTTCAAATGTCTCCACACAGGTTTGCGTTAGCAAACCGGGCTAATTGCAGTGAATTAGCATTTTATGCTGCACTGCAAAAAAATGGAAACAGTAACAAACACTTGTGGAAGTAGGTGGCGCTCTCCTGTGCCCACACTGTATGAACAGTAAATGTCATGTGATGTACAGTAGACGTCCTGTCCACTGCTGGCCTGTGGCTCAGTGAGCACAGAGCTGCCAACTACTAGAGTTTCAGTCACTGGGCCTAAAACAAATCCGTCATTCCCGACCAGTTGAGCGGACACACTGTGTCTCGGCATCGTACTGTACAGCACGCAGCAGTACACGCTGCAGGAAGATGAGGTTAGCAGGAGAACAGGACAGCAGTTTGAGGGTGTAAGCACATTTTAGAACTGAGTGGCCTGAGGGATAGAGTTACAGAGACAGACAAGAACTGTGCCTGTCCCTCAGTCTGATTAATACCCTGGAAACATGATTATACCAACAAAAAAACACAACTCCATTTGATCTGCTGCCTGTATCCCCAAACATTTATTGAAATGTTTCAGCTAAAAATAGTTTAAATTTGACACAGCACATTCATATTTTTGATAAGTAGAGTGTAAATAAAATTCTCAAAGTAAAATAAGTAGGAAAAAACATTTTAAAATGTATTACAGTCCCCCCCCCCCCCAAAAAAAACCCCGTCAATACTTAAGAACCGGCAGAGCTTCGTTTAATGCTCCGCTAACTAGCTTGCTTATTCAATGTCGTTTAATTACCAGTAGAGGGAGACAAACTCACAGGTTTAAAAAAGAAATACCTGCTCTGTGTCAGGTTGGATGATTGATCTTAAAAGACAGCGAAGTTGTCTTTCTTTTTGTTTTTGTTTTTTGTAATGTAATTAATTAATTCCTCTGGTTTGGTGTTACAGTCAACCAAATGTGAAAGTAGTTGTTATTATCTGTGTTTTTAAGACCTTATATTTAGTTTTTAGAGAATTCGAGGCTGTCAACTTTAAAGTTTAAGACATTCGATGCTAAGCTAGCGTCTTTGCTGGACGTTATATGTCAATAGCCCCGCCCAGTTCCCTCCACAGCCCCGCCCTCCATCATCACCAGAGTGATCAGACAAAGGTGAAACACCTGTGCAGTGTTGAGAGCATGCCGAAACATTTCCACTGTGTGAAGCTAACAGACACAGACAGAAACAGACAGACAGTCTGTGGTTTGCTGCAGACATGGCCAACATTGAAGTGTTAAACAGCAGGTTCAGCCTTTATGACAAAATGTACAGCCATGAGTTACGAGAGCACAGCTTTGCCGACTGGCCTTTCAGAGCAGAGTGTAGCTGCACACCTGACAAGGTAAGGTGTCGGAAAAACAGAGAGGGTTTTTATTTACACTGCCATGTCTTACTGTTTGGAAAGTGAAATGTTTAAGTTTAAAGATATATATATATATATATATAATTTTAGATTTATGACATCCAGCTGTTTAATATGGTGGTTAAATGTTGTCACCTGACTGTTCAAACATGGAGGAGAAATAACTTTCAAAATGTGTAAACACAAAATAATAATTAGTTTCTGTCCTCTGGGTGATTGGAAAACATGAGTTTCACTGATCATCAAGTATCGTCTGGAGAACATTCTGTTTTAGAGAAAAAAAGAAAAAAAAAATTTTTTTTTTAAAGTCCACATTTTTAAGATAAATCCCACTTCAACCAATAGAAGTCTGAAAAAGTTGAGTACAGTGTTGTTGTTTTTTTGTTTTTTAAATACAGAAAACAACAACACAATCGACCCCCTTCACGGTGTGTGTCCATTCACAGGTAGCCAACTGTGTCAGACCAGGTCCAGGTTCACATTACAGTCTAATCCTGTTTTTATCCACATCTGTGACAAGTGTTGATTTACAGTTAAGCAGGTGTCCAGTCCACAGCCCCTTACATTTGCTCACTCCTGCCCCCTGATGGATGAGCTGCTGACAGTTCACTGAATCAGTCACACTATGACCTCTTGTTACCGGCTCGTAATCACCCCGGGAGCCAAACGCGGATCATGCTGTGGTTGAATTCCCACTGCGGCTCATCTTCATTCAGCTCTGCCTGTCATATCAACCCCACCTTCACGTCTCAGCTCTCTGTGACTCAGTGTTTAGATCAGTGAAAGTTTTTGTCTTTGTCTTCACAGATGGCCAAGGCCGGGTTTGTCCACTGTCCCAGTGAGAATGAACCTGATGTCGTTTGCTGTTTCTTCTGTCTGATTGAGTTGGAGGGCTGGGAACCAGATGATGACCCATGGTGAGAAGGTCATGTCTGCTTACCTGTGATTTAACCACATTTATATGGGCATTAAGCCAGTAGAGGGCGTTGTTTTACCAAGTGCCATACATCAGTTGAAATTGAAAATCAGTGACTACATATAGTGATTTATTTATTTATTTTTAAACCTACACACATCACCTGTGACCTACAGTGTGTTGTGACCTTTTGGAAAGCATAAATATTAATAAAATAAAAAGTGAAAACAAATATTATTCTGTCATTTAGAATTTTCAATATCCCCAATTTTTTCCCATTTTTTTTCTTTTCTTTTTTTTTTTTTTTTTTCCTTTTCATTTTCAGGACTGAACACAAGAAACGTTCCCCTAACTGTGGCTTTCTGACCATGAAGAAAGACTTCACTGAGCTGACGGTGGCAGAGTTCTTCAGCATGGAGAAAGAGAGGCTGAAGATCTACCTGGTCAGTGTCATCTTTGTGAATTGTTCATTGTTGTTTTTCCTTCTTTTTATATTCTGCTCTTTTTTTTTCTTTTTTTTTTACGTCTTGTAGAGAAAGGTTTCTCATAAGAAGATGGCCTATTTCAGGGACGAGATAGACCACATCTTAGAGAGTCTAAATTCCCAGCTGGACTCTCTGTGACTGTTATTAATCTCATTAATTTAATACTCCGATCTCCCCTAATGCCACTACAAATTAAATTAATAAAGCTTTGCTAACTTTTTACTCATTGCTTGCAGTATTGTATTGGACCGCAAGGGGGTGCTTTAGCATTAAAGAATTGATTTCCTTATATCACAGTGTATGGAGTTCCTCGTTGTATACATCATCTTGACAAAGGCCAACAGGAGTGCAGGAGCACATTGAACAGAATCACAAAGAATCACTTTATTCTCCTCACAAACAAATACTTACTATTTTTCTTGAACGTGCCACCATCTCTGCTGCGTCTTTTCAAACCTTGACCCTGGACAGATGGCCTGAAGCCCCTCCCTTTCAATACCAACTGTTGCCCCAGTAACATCTGTTACATGTAGAGAGACGGTGTGTGTGCTGTGAGGGCTCACCAGGACGCAGGCCTCGTCCTGGAGGGAGGACTGAGATTTACGGAAACACTGGGCGATCCAACAGTTCCTGAACAACTACATTAAAAGAAAAGAAAAAAAATCTGTGGCCCAATAATCACTGACCGTTCTTAATGAGTCATTAAAAAAACTAAAGGTTTAGCACTGAATCAGTTGGTATAAAATCTTTACACACATTTATGTTTACATTTATGAGGGTGTGTCAGAAACAATAACTAGAACTGTGTGTGTGTGTGTCCTGGACTGATGAAAGGCTGGCCTGGATGGAGTCCAGGATTAAAGGATCCTGTTGCTGTTCCGAGTTTCCACGGACCAGGATTAATGTCTAATGTAACGCTCCAGCCACTGAGCCCAGATCAGCTGCTTAATTCTCTTTCATCAACTCCCCTGTACAGCAAATGAAGAACAAAAAATTTAGCCAAAAAAGTCAACTGTGGTCATGGAACATTTGATCAAATTTGGTCAAATGAACAAAACACGTTTTCTAGATGGAACATTTCTATGGTCAAATGAACAAAACACGTTTTCTAGCCAAAATGCAAAAAAGGCTAAGCAATAATAATAATAAACAAAAACTGTCACTATTGGTAATAAACAGCTCCATCATAGGCACATGTTTATGGGTAATGGACCACCACCAACTAAAGAAGTGTCTGTATATAATGTACATGTATGTTTATTAAATATGGACATATATGTATGTATATACATATACTGTTTGTATAAATATATATATATGTTTATATATAGTGTATATATCTTGTGTAAATAGGTGTGTACACCTACAAATATATGAGTTGAGGCATATGGTCACATCTGCAGATTCTAACTCCCAATTCGTCTGTTTTCATTTAAAGGTCAAAGGTCGACATGTTGAACGTGATACGAATCAGAGCAGGAGTCACGGTAGGAAACTGCAGTGTTAGTAAATGTGAAATCCCTGTGTTAATTACCACATTGTTTACATGTATGTGTCTAGAAATATTGAACATTTGCGTGTTAGTTTTTACTTATGTTATGGACCTAATATTGAAGAGAATTGGGCTTCAGCTAGAATATGTCTGGGATTGTGCATCAGTGTGGACTGGCCTGCCTGTAGTCCAGATTAATTTCCCACTGACGTGTGATAATCCAAGTCTTAAAATCTGCACTGATCAAAATCACATTTTCTGTAATTGCTAATGTGAGAGTTCTCAGCGTTGACTCTCACGTGCTGCATCAATCCACTTATCTGTGCTCCAGAAAATAATGAACAAAGACAACAGCACGCCACGACTCAGAGTGTCCCAGAGTGGCACAGATGTGATAAATATTATCTGTGGGAATGGAGCGGAGCTGTTGATTTGATTGAATCATGAGTGAGTTGAGAGATGATTTCACGTGTTTTCCCATCCCGGTTTCTAACGCAGTTCTAATTAAAAATCCCTTAAACAGTACTTCAAATAAATCATTTAGCTAATTGGAATCTGCATTTCACCACTGCACGCAGATTAGACTCTTTGGTTCTCGTTAATATACTGTGACAAAGGCCTCATCTGCAGCTTGATTTTAATTAACGAGTTTCTGCTGAACAAACTGTAAACAGCCAGTGTAGCAGATGGACAAATGGACAGATGTTACCAACAGAAAGTTTACAACCTGAGCTCTCCATCAGGCCCCATCTGTTGCTCCTCTGACTGGTACCTCCCTCTGCCCTCCTCCAATGCGTCTCCTCTGTCCTCATCAGCATCTATCACAGGAACGCCACACACACTGGCCTCAATAAATGACTTCAGTATTTAGTCTCTCACCTGACCTTTTACTTTGGGGAAAAACATTTAAGCAACGCTCAAGAGTGCATTACAGTCGATTCCGTGTTAAAGCAGTCGATGCAGTGTTGAGGCCGACCGAGCCTCAGCTGCGGCTCCTCCAGCAGAACAATGTCTGCAGGTCGTGATGAATTTCAGACAGATTACAGGGGAACACACTGAGCTTCTCCGGCTCTTGCATCACAATTACTTGGAAAATAAAATCCCCTTTCAGTTTTATTTCTCCCTCCTCCACCTCCTTATGCTCTCCCATGTCCCTCGCCGTGCGCCTTGCTGGCTGCGCGCTCTCTCAGACACCACGGCCCTCCTACCTCGGCTGTTTTTTGTGCCCTCTTCCAAAGGGACCTCCATCTGTCCCCACACTCAGCCCATTGTGGCGGCCCAGAGCCGTGCAACTTCTACAATGTAGGGGGCGTGCGTGGGGAGGGGTGCAAAGTAAACACAACAGCATCCAGATCCCATTAGAAGCTCTTTAACTCCTACACCCTAATACTCTCAGAGAACTCAGGGTGGGAGAAGGCCCACCCCTCATCCTCACCTTCCTCACCCTCTCTCCCCCCGTAGGTAATGAGAGTGCAAGCTGCCAGTGTGCAGCTTCTTTGACCCCTCACTCTTTGTTGTTAGTGTTGATGTTGATGAAGAGAATCAGATATAACATGAATTATTAACTATAACAGATACAACTGGTACAGAGAATTTAATAAATATTATATGACACTTCAATATAACCTCTGGTACAGACCTGGGCAAACTAAGGCCCGTGGGCCAGATACGGCCCAGTAGTAAAATAAGTAACAAGTAATAAAGACTGACGTTGTTTCTTCTGTTTCATGCAGTACAACGAATCGACTGTAATTTCAGTTGATGCCACTAAATGGCAGCAGACATCAGAAGTGCCAAATTATTTCTAAACCAGCCGCCGGTCAATTTTTGAACTTCATTCTGGCTGTTCTGGCCAAAATGTTTATAGTTTAGTTTCCTTTTTGATTAAATTATTATTCAACAAGGTCATGATTTACTTTTTCAAATCTATTTCAAACTCAGAGTTTATTTCCTAACCCAACATTGAGACACATTATCATAACACTGACCTCATCATCATCATCATCATCATCATCATCATCATCTTCTTCTTCTTCTTACAGCTGCTGAAGTTCAGGCCGCTCCAACTTTTCAATTTGGACTTGTAGATCCCTTTGCTGGCCTCAAAGGTGTGTGTGAGTGTTTGTGTACATGCTTGAGACTGTGACACACACACACATACACACACTTTGACCCGAGAGGGGGATCACTGTATTGGGCCCAGCTTAAAGGCAGAGGGATTAGCGGCACAGACACTGATTAAAGCCGTCCAGCCTCCTACCGTCCCATTAATACAATCTTAATCACAATGCTTTATCCCTCCATCCAGCTCCTATGGATCAGGACCTTTCATTTTAGCTCCGGCAACTCGTGTTTGGCCGGTGGATTAAGCTCTGCTGCACAAGAGCTAAAATATAGCAGCACAAAGGAGACGGAGCAGAGAGAGAGAGAGAGAGAGAGAGAGCAAACGAGAGAGAGGGAGAGACCTTTTTCTATGGCTCCAAAAATGAACTCAGATTGTAGTCAAATTAGATTGAACTGAGTAATGTTGGTCTGTACCACCTGAGAAAACACTGAGCTCTCTGAGTACCACCATGACGACCAACAGTAGAATTAGCTTCCACCACAGGAGAGATGTTTATGTTTAAATGTTGGATTAATTGTGCATGGTATCTTTCAGATTTATTCAATTGAAAATGTAAATTTTCCCCACGTACCACTAGAGAGCGCTCGTGTAGAAAATATAGTGTTTAATTGTTTTTTCTTGATTCTGTTTTTTTTCTGTTGTTGTAAAAAGAATTCATAAAACACATTTATATTCTACGTACATTTTCTTTTTTTTATCCAAATTCATTTTTTTTTCACTTGTTTATTTTTTAACCCGTGTCCTCTGACCTCGAAGCCTCCTCTGGATGTCCTGTATTCTGTAATCTTTTATTAAGAGTTAATTTGTGTGGATTACGTTCACATCCACCTCGTGTCTCTGGACTCCGGAGGATAATCCACATCCTCCGCCCAAAATGCGATCACACGAAGAGCGAGTACAGCAGCTAAGGTTCTCACAACCAAATATCAGCCCATGTGTGAAGCTATGCCACACACACACACACACACACACACACAGGGGAGAGATTTGTGAATGAGGAGCAGGGACCTCGCTCACCTCCTCTGCCCTTCTCCTCCTCACTGCTCTTCCCATTTCCACCCAAAACACTGGCTCCCCTTTCCCTCTCTCTCTCCTCCATCTCCCTCTCTCTCCTCTCTTTGCAAATTGGCCCAGCTGTCCGTCAGCCCCCCCGCAGTCCCCCCAGCTGTCTGCCCTCCCCGAACCGCCAACCCCACAACAATGCAGGTCACAGGTCAAGAGAAAGAACAGGCTGCGTTCACAATGGACCAGTGGCGCCCAGTAAAACAATCGCTCCCTTTTTCTCTCCTCGGTCCGTTCTTCCCCGTTGCCAGAACTGGAAAAGACAAACCTTTGGAGAGGTGAGCTGAGGAGGGGGACGCTCCTGTTACACAACAGGCACATTCCCGTCCTCACAATGGCCTGAAAGACCCCAATAATAAACACACTTGTACACACCAGTGCTTCCTCTCACCACTTCATCTCTGCCACTCTGCCGCCCTCTTGTTGGAGCATTAGGGCCCATCATGTCCTTCAGCTCCGTCATTAAAGTCAAACATCAGACTTTTGTCAATAACTGAGTGATGTAACTGTGGTAGGAACCTCACTGCTGCTGCTGCTGCTGCTGGAGGAAAATGAAAATGAAAGAGTGAAAATGAAAGAGTAAACACGGCCTCTGAAACACCAACTTGTTTTTGTTCCTCTTTGAAGTTAATGTCCATGAATTCTTTACAAATCGACTTTTTGCCCTACAGTGTTTTGGCATGAGGTGGATGGGAAAGTGAGACATGTGTGAGAGCGGAGCAGGGATCAGGAGTCAGAAAGGCCTCGGTGACACATTCACCTGTTCCTCAGAGCTGTTTTTCCCATGGTCAACAACAGCCTCCTGCCTGACCTGACAGAAACCCTGCAGTGAGCCTCTCAATGACATCACACACGCACACACACACACACACGCACACACACACACTCACACTACACAAATCCCTATTTAACATAGTTTTCCGTGTCACTGTGCAGTTAGCTAACATTAGCATGGAACACTCTTAAATTAGTTTGCTTGTGTACACACACGTGCACATCATATACATGTACTACTTGTATATAGTATAATACTTGCATGCAATCATTTTCTTGTTTCTGGACAAGATGCTCAAATTCCCGTAGCGGCTGCTGTTTGTTGTTTTTATGAAATGACCTAAAATATGAAATCACGATAGTTGTCTTTAGATGACGTCTTGATTTCAGTTTCCTCTCTTGTTGGTTTCCTTGTCTTTTTATTGTAATAGTGAAGTTTTTTTTTAAGTTTCTGTATGAGCCTCAGTGGTTTTGCTTTATTTTTAGCAATTGTTTCTATACAAAAAAACAGAGATATTTGATGTCTCCTTAGGGTTATTAGTTTCTAAGCTTTTACTACACCCCCCTGCCCCCCCCCCCTTTACAGATAGGACTATTGCCCCCCCTCGATCCCCCCATGTCAATATTCCTTCAAACCCCTAAAAAAATTCAGTATATCTTTCTTTGAGCACCCGTCAGTCTAAAACAATAGAAACAAACAAAATTGTTATCATATAAAATAAGAATATTTATTCAATTAAGTGCGAAACAGCAAAATATTTACAACAGTACAATGTGACAAATATTTGTGACACCAAATGAAGTTCCTGAAAGACCCAAAAAATAAATAATTTAAATACAGTACAGCCTCCAGTGACTGACGACAGTGAAGACAGGGCAACAAAAACACTGTGCTGAAAATCCAAAAAAAAAGAGAGGACAAAACCTAATCAAAATAAATATTAAATACAGATATAAATAAATGTATTGCTTCAGGTTTGGCCAGACAGACACTGGCCGTCGGCCTCAGTGCGGAATTTAGCATTTGTGACTCTTTTGATCTCTTTTATATATGTTAATGTGCAGAACTCTGAGGATAAAAAGTCGTCGTTATGGAAATTTGGTAAAAAAAAAAATCTTTAGTTTCACTTTGACTGATGGGCAACATTTACAGACATAACATAAAAACAGAATAAATAAAATAATAAAAGGTGGGGTGCATGTTTGGATCAGGTAGATCAGGTTGAGGTGATCACTCTCTCTCTCTCTCTGTGTCTCTCTCTCTCTCTCTCATAAATCCAATCCACTTCTTCCTACTCTGTCCAAACCTCGGCCTCTGTTTGGGAACAACATTTTTCCACAGTCAGTTTCCGTTCCTTCCGTGTTGCTCGGTCAGATGTTTCCCATCTGAGAGGTGACCAAGTGAGACGGAGCGAAGGACTCGAAGCTCACGTCGAGGGGCAGCTCATAACGCGACGCCTGAAAAATGGGCAGGCCCTGAGGCCCACCTGGCAGCCCACCTGTCGTAGAGGCGGGGTAATGGTGCGACAAGAGAAAGTGGGCCGGGTGGGAGGGGTGGGGCGTAAAGTTCCTCTCTGAATCGCGGGGAGAGGGCTCCTGCTTCAGGCCAAAGTTGCCACTGATGCTGAGGGGAGGGGTGAGTGGCCCGTCGTAGGGGGGGGTGCCGCTGCTGCATTCATTTGAGGAGGTGTGGTCGTACACAGGCCCTTTGAACCCCTTCATGTGCAGAAGGTGGGACGCCTCCAGGGATCCATATGGGGGGCTGGGAAGGCCTGGTGAGGGGAAGCTGAGGGGATGACCGACCTGACCCCCCACACCATCCACCCCGGGGCCCCCGCACTTGTCCTCCAGCTTGTTGAGCATCACTGGACTCGGTCCGAGCTGCAGGCAGCCCGCGACCAGGTTACTGGTGGGCTGAGACAGACCTTTACACAGCATCTCCACGAAGCCGTGGCTCTCTGCAGACTGGCCGCTCTCTAGCACCTCCGACAGGGCCCAGATGTAGTTGCGAGCCAGTCTTAAAGTCTCGATTTTAGACAGCTTCTGTGTCTTCGAGTAGCACGGCATAACTCTGCGAAGATTATCCAGGGCGTCGTTCAGTCCGTGCATGCGGGAACGTTCTCTTGCGTTGGCCTTGACCCTGCGGGCACGAAACCTCTCCTGTCTGGCTTTGGTCATCTTCTTCTTCTTAGGGCCTCGTCTTTTGGGGCCCTTCTCTCCATTTGGTCCAATCTCCTCCTCTTCCTCCTCTTCCTCCTCCATGTCTTCACTTCCAAGTTCTGTACAGGAGTGGATCTCACCACCAACACCCAGACCGTGGTGGAGTCTCATCTCTGGACTTTCGTCCCCGTCCTGGGAGCTAGCGTCCTCCTCCAGCCAACTGAGGGAACTGACCAGGTCACTCACATCACCGCTCTT